AGCGAAACTGTAAGATTTATCTCGAAGCTGCTTGAATGTCAGGTTTTCACCAGTATGTACATCCGTCTGTAAGTAGTTCAACGTCGAAATTATAAGAAATTTCCACTTAATGTCTTATTGGTATTTTCGCTTCTTCAATTTTGGTTACTTGGCTGCTGGTCTTTGTCGGCATTAATAGGCTTAACATAAAGAGATCTTATTTACACCCTACATTCTCCATATTTTTATTCCGCATCCAGGTTTAGAGCTTAAATTTCGGATACATCGGAAATTAAAGTCAGGATTTTCCAAAATGCTGTATAAATTTAGAGTGCCAGGAATATAACAGTCAAATTTTGAACTTTATACAAAATTTAAGATCATCTGCAGATGCAGTTCATATACAGGTTCAACTTCAAAATGCAGTGGTATACACGACAATAACAAAAATGTTATTTCACTGACACATCTCAGCAATTTTTACAACAAAATTAAACACTTCAAGAAACACATACCAGCGCTAAACTGTCACCATATTGCACAGCTGCATCGAGAATTTGTAAATGAAAAAGCTGATTACTGACGGAAACCATTGATTGTTTGACATATGATAGAAATGTGAAAATATGAATGTAATTTTGCTGAAAGAAAGATAATCATCTGATTGGTGGAACCGTCATGATTGGGGCTAATTTTGGATCGCTATTAAAATTGCCAACATTTTTTTGCGCCAGAAACTCGATAACCGAAGATCATATCCATTTTCGTTGAAAACAGAAAGGGTCAACATTTTGCCACCCTACATTACCAGAAATAACCTCTCCTTTTATGCTAATCACCTTATTCACAGATTTCTAAAATTTGCAGTACTTTTTTAAATTGGAAGATGCTGAAGAAATGAGCTCTGGCTAAATATACAAGCATAAACAAAAGCACACCAAAAATATGAACTCGAAAAATACAAAAATTTCTTACTTCTCCAGTCTGAAATAAATTTTGTCATATTTCAAAAAACAAATATAACAAGAAATGAGTATCACACAATACAGCACTCCCTGATATCACTTCATCCTGTTGTTTGTGATACTGACGGCTGCACCAAATGCATAACGTCAGCGAAACGCACCATATGAGGTACCATTTCTAAAAAAATCACCTAACAATCAACTAGTTAATATATAATCTATTAAAACAAATGCTTTTAAATGGAACTTTAATACAATGAATGTGCTGCCGTATGCAGCTAAAAAACAATTCATGCAAAAAAAGAAAAAAAATGCCCTCAGATGAACTCTTTATCCATTTGTCGTTTTTCATATGCCTTCAATGAAGCATTTCGAAAACAACAAAATATCAAATTTAATACAAACCATGCAAGAATTCAAGTTTATCGTTGTCTTGAATATAATCTGCCAAATGAGAATATTCGATACATTTTGGTTTGTCATTTGATTCATATGATTCTTTTGCTAATTTGCATACAAAAAGTTCCTTCAAATAACCGATTTTTAATGATTTTAAGAAAATGAATAGCCCAACAAATATTAACATCATTTGCACTTTGAAGAGGAAAAAATCAAGTCAAGCATTGCTCAATTCAATTGACAATTCGTGTTCAAACTAACAAACCTTAGTACTATTCGTTCACTTTTACATTACTCAACAGCTGTAAACAACACCAGCTTATGATTGCATTTCAACTTACTTTGCTTTGCTGATTTATATAGAGAAGCAGTATGATTTCAAAGAGGCCGAAATGCCAGTTCTTACAAAAAAACCAATACCAAACTAAACGATAGTCCCCTAAATTTTAATTTGCCACTCCTTCAGAAAATTTTTTTAAAAAAACACATAATAGCTAGAGGTTTGGTACAACGGTGCTTACTGCAGCTTTGGTCATAGCGAATAAGCCTTCACTGGAGATCGGTACCTGCTCACCACCACTTTGCATGATCGTCCTAACCCGTGCAAGAGGCAACTCATGCTGTGCATTCAACACTGACAGTGATGACGACGACGGTGCCTCATTTTCTGAATGGTCAGATTTTCGGAATGCTACCAACATTTGATCATCATCTTGAGAATCACTGTCATCATTCAGGGCCATCTTCGTGTCCGTGATATACGAAGAACGTATAGTCTCGAAGTACCAGGATATATGGAAAAGCACCTAAATGCAAAAAGTATACGTTTGATATTATCAGTACATTGCCCTGAACGTTAATACAACGTCGAGAATGAAGCATTCGAAAAGCTCCCGGTAATACTTCGATTCGCCTTAAAATGCTGGAAAAATTAAGACCTCATCATCGTGTCATTTATATATACGTTTATATTTATATACAATAGCCCCTATTTCGCTCATTTGATGACCCTCGCAATTTTCACTATTTAATTTCAAAAATTAAGGTAATCTGGATCGTAATATTGCAGCGTATGTTGCATCATTTATGAAATTTAATTCAAAAAGAATGGAATTTAATAAATGGAAGGTTTATGAATTTACAATAAGGAAAGCAAGTAATTTAATAATTATATGGAACCATACAACTGATAATCATATAAAATGATACAAAAGATGAAGCAAATTGGCTTGCCATAGGCACAACTTTGTCAAAACACTGACCATAAATTATTTCATAGCGAAAAATTAAGGACAATAATACAACTTTTTATATCACAGAAAAATGAAAAACAAAATCAAGAAAACTTTAACAAATGTGTCCGGAAATATATTAAAATTGTTTAATTTGTCGAAAAAAGCTTTCAGTTTGAAAATACGCTTGTGTATAATAATTTTAACCAACAATGTGTGGATCATTTACTAAATCAATGAAAAGTCAGAAAAGTTCAACTTTTCATTTGAGAGCTGAGAAAAATATTACGAAACAGACACCACCAAAATAATGTTTTAGAATATATCAAAGAAAGACGTATCAAAAACTTGTTGAATTTAACGGATTTTTACAAGAATAAAGGAGAAAATTACCACAGATTAGACAGAAATTATCCTTAATATGAAAAGTATTCTTTAGTATATGATCTATTCCTTACATTTTCCCACAATTAAATGCAATAATGGAGATAAAATTTAAACTATTACGCACATTTAAAATGTATTGTTTACCATTTTCACAAAATGTATTGTTTACCATTATTTTCATTTGTTTACCATTTATATCATTTTTACAGACGTGCAAAGTAAGTAGAACTCACAAACTTTCGCAGGGTAACAGAAGATCAATTCAAGGATTTTTCAAAGTGTTCCCAGTCTGTCGCTCTTCCTGAAACAGGATTTAAAAAATGAGGTTCAAAACAAAAAATGAATAACATCGATGATACAAAAAAGCCAAAAATGATATAAAAAAAATATTGAAAATTCTGTCCAATGATATGCTAACTGGCAGTACTCTTTTACCCATTATAGTGATCCGCACTAGAATACATTAAAAACCCGACACTAGTTGCAGTGACAATAATCGCCAAACAATAATGAAGTAATGAATTAAACTGAAATAGGCAAACCCTTACAGATAACAAAATAATATCTTTGAACATTTCTTCAGACTCTATATTTCATCTTGTCTCGGATTTTATCGATTCAGTTGTGGTGCTGAAACCTGTAATTAATATGGTAGAAAGAAAACCAGCAGGATAAAACAGGTAGTGGAAATATGATAGAGAACAATAAGAGATGAGGAAGATACTTTTTTTGAAGCTTCAAGTAAACCTAGAAAATATGCAGCTGTCAAGTTCGAACGAGGAAAGCCATAGATTTCACCAGCTTATATTAAGCAGTTATGAAATTAGACTAATAGAAACTCATGTGGACTTGACAAATTGATATGTGATAAGTTTAATGAACATCCGTCTCTTGAAATATTGTAGTCGCTTCATTACTATTCATTACTGTTAGTATAACTGACGACCAAATGATTTGTGTGGTACCTGCCAATTTGTTTTTGTTCCTCAGAGTTTAAAACACAACTTTTACTTCTTACGCAAAACTCACAACTGTTTTGCACTAACCACACAGATTTTATCAATTCCTTAAAGTTATACTAACCATAATGTTGCGGATTTTCTTCAAACTCCTGTTTTCGTGATCGTTTGTTTCGTCCCTCGGCTACTTCTTTTTCACTCTCCACAAAACCTACACTACCAGTCGGCAAAGTCGAACTGTTATTATCACCGTAGTTTACATTATAACAATATTTTGAATCCTGCATGAAAAGGCTAATTACGAATTCTATTCCATGGCATTTAGATACAATGACAAAGTGAAACTATAAAATGCATACAAACATATATATTATATGTTACTGGTAACCAGTAACTACCAGTAAATATCCAACTGGGCCAGAAATCAAGCTGAAGAAAAAGTAATGGACAAAGAGAGATGGCGACCAAATTTTCATACTCGTTTACCGCATTTATATTAAAATCCCACATTGGAAACTCACATTTATATTGCCTTCCAAAATAATTGCTTGCTCGTCACTTGCCATAGTAAGTTGACCAGTTTCAAACAGATGCTGAACGCTTTCGATATCATCAAACTGAATTTGCACTTCCTCATTCTCTCCTAATTCGATCTTAAAATATATAAAAACGATCATACTTGAATATAATGATAACAGTGATAAGACAACGAGTCATGAAAATAAGCACATTATTCCACAGTATAATTAACTATAAGTCACATAATTGCATTTCAAACAATTAGTTTGTATTCCGCCCAAGAAACAATTCGTAATACTAGCCACCATTCTAAATCAATCAATCTTTCCAGCTAATTTACGGCACTATATTTTGAACTAGTTTGAAACGGGAGTTCGGTGACTTATTAAATAAAGGACTAGATTAGTCTAATGAGACGTGAAGCAATGTCCAGTCAGATTTCAAAACAAAGGGTTGCGACACCTTATTCTGGAATTTCATTTCACTGTTGTCATATTTCTCTTGAATAGCGCGGTAAAAACCACTTCTAGATACCATCATTCATCGTAGTATCCAGAAGTGGTTACAGCGCTATTCAAGACAAATATGGTAATAGTTAGTCAACTTCTCGATCTAAGACGAAAGCGAGCGTGCAGAACCTACAAGACAGATTGGATGCATTGTGAAGGCGGAAAGTGAAGACCGTAGGCCTATATTTAGCATACTTGGGCTAGGAGAAACGCGAGAGACGATCAAGTAACGAGAAGGTGAAAACGAAAAAACTCTAGCCGAAATAATTGTGTGTGTGTTTATGTGTGTGCGTGTATGTGTGTGTGTGTGTGAATACATTTCAACAACGAAAGCACCAAAATGTGATTGTCTAGATGACAAAAAAAAGGCAGACAAAAATGCAGTTTATACTTACAACTTCCCCGTTTTCATCGATGAATATCTGATTCCCATCAGCATCCTCATCAATGCGACAAACGCGACGAATAACAGGCTCTGGTGTTGCCATTGGCTAAAATATTTGAAAGAATTGAAATCCTAGACCCCATCGTAGCTTGCGTATAAAGAAATGAGAATAGTGGCCTTAAACCAGTAGTCAAAATGTAACTTAAAAGAGCTGTCTGACCTAGATTTAGATTTCACCCCAAAGCAATTTTTTAATTAATACATCAATTTCGACCAGTAATTGGAACCAAGAAACGATTATGAATATTTCATCTAACTAAATATTCCTGACGCATTGTCGAGAATGACAGTACTCAAGCAAGGAATTGCAATATGCAGCAATTACAGACATAATTTGCACAGGTATCACTCCCTTACAATGACTCCTCATTGGATACCAACTAAAAGAGCATGTGAGCAGAAAAATCTTTCAATTTTTAATTAATACAGCGATACGCACTGTAATACAACTTGATGTTATCATTTTTCCACACATGATTAATGGAAAAGTAAATATAGTGGGTCTTCCCGATGAATAAAATGTATGAAAGCTATTAAAAAGAAAAAAAAGTGGAAAAAATTACCTCCTGAACAGGTACTTCAGGTGCAAGTGTCGGAGGAGGTTCAACGTTATCAATATCACCTGTTTGCTTCAAGGTATTCCCCAATCTGTCTCCGCTTTCTACAAACTTTTTTTCTTTTTTACTTTCATTTAAAAATAGAAGTGACCGATATTCTGTAATGTTTTACTATAAAAATCATTTAAGAATGTGCATAAGTGCCTGTGCAGCCTTGTCTCGTAGGTACAACTGCTTCTGTTTCTTTCTTTGTATCGTTTAGGAAATAATGACGCACTTCTGAAGGATGAACAGCTTTTACATGACGCTCAACGGCGCGCTCACCGTAAAATACTACTCCTATAAACAGTGACGATGAAGGAGACATAAATGACAAGAAAAACTACAAATGAAATAAAAGCAAGTGTAAAAGCAGATATAAGTTCTGCACAGAACAATCCTGATTCTTCGACAAAGTGAAGGAAGAAAAAGACAGAATGGAAACTATAGTACTATAGGAATTAGACTGAGACTGATAGTGATCAGAACACTATTAAATGAATCTGGTGATTATGAAAGCTACTGAAAGGTAACTCCAAACTAACAGACAATCTTTCCATAAAAACATAGGTAACTAACCGCAAACAGGACACGATTTCCCGTTAGGCAGATCTGGCCGCATAACCATTAGTTCAAACGGTGGTCTTGTGCGAAAATGAGGAATAGATACCACTGAGTTATCCGGAACTTCACGCTTATTAGCAACCATTTTTTTCTGCGCAGAAGATAACTGTAAATTTCTCTGGGCCAGTGTTCTCACTGCACGACGTAATGCAAGAGCATCAAACTAAAAACTTTAATGTAAAGGCAACATGATTAATGAAATCGGGTAAAAATTTAACATTTTTCTACAGAATGAAAACTCTACAATAATGTTTAAAAATACACTGTTCCCATTTTCGAATTTACATATCATTGACTCAGTAACGTTCGTGCAAGCAAAGCGTGTAAGAGAATTATTTAGCTCTGTAAAGTAGAAGTATGACTAAAATTTACTACATCAAGGACTGAACAAGAGTTTAACTTTAAGTAAGAAATAAGGTGAATTTGATTTCTACTTATGCAAAATTCAAAACCATTAAAATCCTATCCAAATAAAAAGCTAACTATACAAGCCATAAAAAGCAACATTATAAAAATATGCCAACTATGCACTGCTTACTTGTTCCCTTTTTTCTGAATCAATGTATAATTTCGTATATGGACAGGAACGACGATAATGTGAAAGAAGATTATAATCGTATTTGAAACGGTTACCACAGAGCACACATGGATGTGATCCAGTAGTCGCATGAAAACCCGCAATATGCCTCTCTAATCTGCAATATATCATTTGTTCAGCCTGATCCAATGTGTGTATAACTCATGTGTGCATAGGTAGAATTCAGTAGTTCTAAAATAAGTTATTAATCCAATGTCATGCTTACCTTGCCATATTAACAAAAGTACGGGAGCACACCGAACACTGTACCATGCCATGAGTAGAAGACCATTTTGTACGCACTGGATTTGGCTCATTACTACTTGCAGCATCCCCAGTAACCTGCAATAACATTTGTGTTAAAAGGAAACAGTAAAAGCATGGATTAAAATAACTCAAAAATGAATAAAAAAAATTAGCGCAAACCTGATCTAAATAACTCCATGAAACACTATGTCCCTCACTGTCAATTATCTCGGGTTCATCAGCGGTATCCAGATGTGTTAACATTTCATGAGATGAGAAACGACTAGTAAGTGCATCCTGCTGATAATCAACCACTGACAAGTCCTAAAAACATCACATATTAAAACATTAATATCGCTGTAGTCTGTAAGGAGCTTCATTAATCACGAATAATTACGAAATTAATATAATTTCGCAAAAAAAAAGCAAATTTTGAGCTACATGTTATATAAGTCACTCCGAGACAAATAACTTCATTCAAAGTTTTCAGATACTGACATACCTTGTCCTTATCTGCAGAAAGAAACAGATCCTGAGATGATATAACCTCTGCATCATCTTCGTGTGAAACTACAACATCTGTCTGTTAAAAACTTCAAAATTTAATGAAATGATATGAAAGTAGATAGAGTTAACATAAGAGATAATGCAAGTCGATGTGCCCAAAACTGATCAGATTACACATAAGTTTTTATATCTGGAGAGAAGCAGGAAGGAGATACTGACAGTACTGAAAGCTGCAATACCTTTGTGGTCACAGCTGTGACTATGAAGATATTTCAAGAACTTAAGTAGGTTCTAGTTCAAAATATTAATTGAATTATTTGTATTTGAGATAAAGAAAATATGCACCCACTGCTCTAACAAAATGTAATGAAATGGGGAAAAGAGTTTAATATTTCAAATTTCATTATTCCTTATCAAGCTTTCGACGATGTTAATATGACGAAATAGTCCCTTCCAGTTTATTTCAATATCTTTTCTATACAATTAGCAACTGCAAAACTTACTCCCACCGAATCGTTGAGAATATTCTTCACCTAATTCGCGCATTATATCTGTTACCATATCCTTCAGTGTTTCATCATCCATAGAAATATCTCGAGTTTCCGAAAGACGTGCCTAAGTAAACAATCAAGATTTGAAAAGAAAAAAGTTGGAAATTGAATGCTTGAAAGTAGATAGAATCAATTTCCATGCAAAAATTCAGAGAACACGATGTTCTGTAGTATTTATTTCGCCAACCTGTATCTCGTTACAACTGCTTCGCCAGTGTTTAATTAAACTATAATGTTGACGAAATATTTGCCCGCAGAGGCTGCAGAAATGTTCACCACTGCCACTTCGTGCATCTACTGGAATAATACCTCGGTGCATAGCTATGTGCCATTGAATCACAGAGTTGGATATTTTCACACCACACTGCTTGCATGGAACACCCGAATATACATTACTTTGAGTATCTAAAGTGAAAGATGGAAAGAAGTATAACTGCAGAAATAAAATAAAACACCTACCGATAACTTAGAGCTTTTTTTAGAGTTTTAACAGGAAAGTTGAATACGATAATCAAAACAATCAGGCTGCTGCAGGGTCATAAATAGCACTGCGGTGCATAAAGTTCCACATATTTCTAAATGTATTCCATACGATTTTCCATTGAACAAAAAGAAAAAATTGAAACAAAAATGCTTACTTAGAGGAGCTTGCATATCGATAAGACCAAACGTATCCGATCTGAAGAGTAAGTTCGGATTAATACCTATTTTCATCACAGGTGGTGGTGCTTCGTCCGCTTTTTTCCTTGCAAATTTTAATACCATTGATCGTAAAACGTTAACATCCATCGTCTGGAAGACATTTCAAATATTTGTAAATATTAAAAAATAACGGAAATCATAAATAAATGGATGGTAAATTAACAAAACCCACGAAGTAAATCGCTAAAGTGTAAACAAACCCTTCGTCTTTCAGCTGGTATCAGCTCGCTCAGTTCATGACATGTTCGACGCCAATGATAAAACAGATTATATTCATATTTATAGACTTTCTGACACAGGGGACATTGAAATGAACCGGAGATCTATATTGAAAAACCGATTAGACAAATAACTAGATTATTATGCTTATCGTTATATATCGGAATTACACACCAAACCTTATATCCTATACTAAACTCATATGCGTCGCTAAATTTTGATCGTTAAAAACGTTAAGGGACATAGAATTATATAATTATTTGCACAACTCTAAATTTAAACGTCAAAAAATTTCACATTTTGTGCCAAGCTCATATGCATCGTAATTAAACTTGTAAACTCTCGCCTCTTATATCCAACCCAGTTGTATTTTCCCAGTAAAATGGTAGATTATTATTCAAAATACTTCGAAAACGTGAAAACATCACTGGAAAAAAAAAAAACCTGATGAACTGCTAAATGTCTTTCCAGCCTAGCAGTATTGATGAAAGTCTGATCGCATTCCGGACATGAATAAGTGCCGTACACACGGTTTCTATAAACTGATAATGATACATGTTTTTGCTTCTAATTGGATCTATATAACAGAGGAGAAGCTCAAAATGGTAAATACGTAAGAAATGACCGTCACACCAGAAAAAAACAATAAAAGTGTGTGACCAAAAAAATGGCTAGCTTCAGGATGTGTCAATAACTTTCTATTCACAAAACTCAAAACATTAACTAGAATTATCGGTATACGATAGTAGGAAACCAATGTAGCAAAATGCAATATATAAAGTTGAAAAGAAAAGAACCTCCTATATCTTCCCAATTGATACGGATCATAGCCAGCTGGGTTGCCGAATAATTGTTGCATAATTTTACCATGCTTATCGATATCTACAACCTCCACACCGTGGTAAGAGTCATTTCCTGCAGAAAAGGAAAAAAAAGTGCAGTTTGTGCCACTATAACTATTACCATGAACAAAAGTAGCACAGAGACCTCTTACAAGTGATCACGACGGTATTGTTAAAACATTTCTATTATTTACATGCTGATATGGTGTTAATCTCAATTAGTTTTACTACGAAAATTCCTAGTAAAAACTTGGTATTGAGTTAGAAATTTCGTTCAATAAAAAATTTGACGGTTTCTATTATCCTTCACAAAAACAATAATTAACACCGCAACGGAAGGATAAAATGGAAGTTCCGAGCAACAGAAGATTTTTTTTCTATTTATGGAGGAAATACAATAAAATGGCTCGAAGTAAGAAAGCTGAATAATAAATCAAATTAATCAAAAGAATTCGGGAACTACGTTTTCTGCACTGGGAAGATGAAAGTTCTGATTCATTGAGCTCATCTATTTCTAGCAACACCGTCTCCGTACCATCATCATTTCGTAAAATCTGAACATTGTCCACTTTCCCGATATCTGAAACATCTCTTCAATCATTGAATAAAATTTCTTTCTTTTAATTTTTAGTACGTCGCTCTTTGGAAAATCGATAGTTAAATAAAATTTATCACAAGTCAAAGAAAAATTTGAATACCGCACCAACATCAGGTCCGTTTAAGCTCAAGATCAAATAATATTCTTGGTCGTCCCCAACAATCACTTGCCCAACCGTGCTTTCTTCCACTAATTCCGTTTCTTCAACCTGGGAAAAAGAAGTCTTTAACAATTGATCCTCTTGTTACTAGCAATAGTAAATCTGCAAGCAGCTGTTTATCAGAGGTGGGAATCTTTTGTAAATTTAGTTATAACTGCATTGCCAAGCAAATAGTATAAACTAAACATAAAGTGCAAATAATCCATTTCGTCACATAAACACCAGTAATTGATTTATTCCAATAAATAAAAACCTGATCGTTCCGCAAATTAAAAGCAGACAATCTGTCTCACTATCTGTAGTTGAATATTGAAGCAAATGATATGAATCTGAGAGTGAAGTGTCTGAATGCCCTAAGAAAACAAAACTCTTCAAACTATCTAGAAATATCATCACCTCAACACTTTCTTGTAGAGCATAAGTGCTTGCATCGACACATTTCGTAATACCATTTGCTTTCTGCGTGCTTTGTATTTCGTCCGATGAATGGTCATTGCCATCCTTATCAATTGCTTCATCTATAAACGGATATCTTCTTTACTGCATTATGGACAAATTTAAAACTAAAATGAATACTCTAACTTTTAGCACTACTGTGTACAGCTTCCTCGTACTGGTGCAGAAAAATAGGTTAATTATCTCATAAACAAGTAAATAAAAGACTGATTGGAATAAGACTTTCCCAAGCAAGAAGCTTGCAGCTAACAAGCGACCAAGTGAGCTAGACACTAAAAATGGCTAAAAAATTACTTTGAAACCTGAAACAAAAATCCAACCAGAAACTGAATATGGCGGCTACAGAAATAATAGCTACAAAATGCAAGCAATCTTGACGGGAACAAATTACCCATTGAGGCACTGATCATTCGGTCAACCTTCTTTCCGAACCAATTCCTCGACGATTTTTAAACCAATCCTACGGTGAACTCCTCCGCAACTTCTACACATGCTGTTGGAACCTCGTAGGACCCACGAAACGCGGCCTTGCCCCGGAGATATTATGGCCTTATGCTGATTTCTTTTAGATAAGGCAGGGTTAAGCGTGTAGTTCGTTCCTACGTTTGAATAGTATATTGCATGCATATGCAAGCTTTCTGAAGATGACAGTTCTCTCTCCAACAGTCGCTCATTCTAATTTATTCTATTCAACTCATTGACAGCCCAAAGCCCAACGCATAATGTAACAATAGTTAAACTCTTCGCCCTCTGGTTTATGAAATATTATATCCCGCTCCGTTGTCTATATACATATGTATGTATATATACTTAGATACTGTATACACGTATGTATGTGTATATACTTAGATACTGTTAACAGTATTGATATGGCTGGGTAGCTTAAGTACTAATTTGATTTTGGACTTGAAACAGATTGCGAAACCATCGATAATAATAGGGATTGGCGGAATGTTAACTAATTAGAGATTTGCAAAGGGAATTAATCAGTGAAAAGGTATAGTTAGTAAATTACTGAGAAGATGATATATCTTGAATTCTCTAAAATATATTTGCATATATTTTTCAAATCTCTGGATTCTTTGCCATCACTTCTTTCGTTTTTCTCTTTTTTCACCTTCCTCATTCTCCTTTTTTACCTCCTCCATATATATATATATATATATATGTGTGTGCTTATTATTCATATCCTTTAGATTCACTTTAATAATTCAGAAATTCTAGTAATTTCAGGCCGCAATTTTTTTTTCAAATGTTCGGAATCTGTTGTTGAAAATTTACCGAAATAGACTAGGTCAGACCTTGCTACATTATATTAAAATTTGAAATCGGTGATTTGAAGTTAATGATATAATACCGTATAACTGAATTCAGTCTTTGTTTAATCTATTACAGTCAGTCTTCCTGTAAGGGGTAATTTATCTGTATTTGCAGATTTCAAGTTTATTAGTATTTATTCGTTATATTGAAGATTCCAAAATACTGAAATATTAGTGGTGGGTTCGATTCCTTCAATATTTTTTTAATGCATCACATTACAATTTCTTTTAATTATTTTTTTTTTTAATGCTTCGTTCTACAATTTGTTTTAACTACTTATGGGACTTTGTGAAAAAAAAAAGTTTAGGAAACTTTGCTTATGAATCAAGCCAATGTTTATTGATTGGACTGACCAATTTGAAAGAAGCTATCATAGAGTCTGTAACAAATGAAGAGGATAATATAGTTTCTAATTCATGATATTGTTAGTGTTTGTCAAGTACAGTTAAAGATGGGCTGCTATATCCTCCAAAGTAAGCTCTTTTGTAAACCACTTAGCCATCCTATCAATTATATTGTTAATTAAGATATCTATCGATTTTATTATTTATATGAATGTGACTACTAGCCGCTTCCACATATAAATATAAGAGAATTCGCCTCTTAAATCTTAATTAAAATGTGTCAATTAGGTTAATTAATTAATTTCAATTGATTGAAATATAAATCTTTCACACCGATTAATTGAATATTTTGTTTCTCATTAGTATACATACAATCAATCGTTCTTTGTATATTTGTTGACACAAAACGTGCTTTTTCAATGTTATGCGCACCAGCCGCGGAACGTAACAAGCAACCAATATTGGATATTCTCAAGCAGTATATCGACAACAAACCGCGTACTGTATGTATTTATAGTTGCATCCATTTGCTAAGATTTTTTGATTGATTAAATTTAATTGAATCACTAAAGTTGAGTGGGATGCAGAAAAAAAAAATTTCAATAGCTAGTTTTATGGTGATTTTTTGATACGTAAGGTAAATTAAATCGAGTTAAAATGGTAATCTTTAAAAAGGTTATTCTTCTAGTTGTTGGAAATTGCATCTGGTAGTGGCCAACATGTTTGTCATTTTGCGCCACATTTTCCAAACGTCTTATTCCAACCCTCTGATATGGATGATCTTAATGTGAAATCTATAAATCTCTACATCGATCATTTCAAGGTTTTTCAAGCTTACGTATTTTTTATCGCTAGAATTTTTTAAAACTAATATTTAATACAATCTGAAAATTTCCAACGTTATGTCGTTTCCTTTTCAATAGGTAAATGGCTTGAATAGAGAGTGATAAGTGGAAATTTGTCAATGTTTGCCAGTTTTACGATTGAAATTTTCACGTCAAATTCACCACTATTTAGATGCCAAGATCCTGTTGAGCTGTGGGTAAAATAGGTTCTTTTGTTGCTTTCATCATTGCTTAGATATTAATAAGCAAATAATTTGATCTCTAGGAATTTTATAACTAGTTTATACGCTTCGATTTCAAATTATTCCGCTTCTCATACGCCTATTCCATCATCGAAAACTACCCAGATTCCATGTATTCCAAAACTTTTTTCAGTTGAGTAATGTTAAGCAGGCTTTGAAAATTGACGTTCGAAAAGATATTAGCAGTTGGAACTTGCCGAGTGAGTTCCAACCGAAACACATCGATTATCTCTTATCAATTAATATGATACATATCAGTTCAGATGCTGCTGTTAATGCACTGTTTAAAGTGAGTATAAATTTCCTGTTATCTACTTGGTCTTGAGTTTTACTTAAGTCTTAATGCCATAATGAGAGATTTTGAAAATGACTGAAGGAAGTAAACCAAGTTTGTCGTAAATCATACTGTTGTGTCATTTCGATTCACAAATAATTCTAGAGTGCTGGATCGCTATTATCAAGTAAACATGGTTTATTGATTACATATGGTGCGTATGCGGTGAATGGTCAAATAACTCCACAAAGCAACTCTGATTTTCATCGATCTCTTCGTTCCAGGGATCCGGAATGGGGCTTACGTGACATAAAGCTTTTGAAAGAGGTCTTCTTGCTCAGTTAATTTTTCTAAATTACTATACTGTAACTTATCACTATTTCAAAATCTCGGACTTATATTTAATATACCACTTAACATCGTTCTTTGCAGGGGTGGAGGAGAGATAGGGGAAAGGAGTCTGACTTTCATTTTTGTTGATGGTAGGTAGCGTGTCATTTCCATTCTTTAGTTTTTTAAGCATTGAAATTGGCAGTTATATTGAATCCAGTATCACTTTTAAAAGAACATAAATTTAAAAAAATAGTTACAGAAATTTACCATGTTTTAAATGCAGCTGCTCTTGATGGATTTGTTTTTATTGAATTTCATGCCGGAATGATCAGGGGATTGGACGAAAAATATTAGAAAAATTATTCCCCTTTTTTGTAGAAAGCGGCTGCTAGTGGATTATATTTGCAAAAAGTATATGATATGCCAGCCAATAATAAGATGATAATTTTTGGACGACAATCTGTGTCATGAAAGAAGTATCTTGAACCGAAGCCATATATTCATTTGAGAAGCGACGATGAAGAGAATTTAGAGCAGATCATTAGAAGATCTCTTTATTTGTGAAAATTGTTATACTTATTTAACAGATGGGAATTAATCTCTTAGTTGCTCAAGTAAAATAATTGTTCTTGAATTTTAACCACATTCGTGCAAAAGCTTCTACAAACACAGTAAAGATTTGAATAAAGATGTAAGGATAAAATTATTCAGCCACCATGAACAGTTTTATTTTAACTTGATTGGATGGAGAGAGACGGTTAGAGACAAATATTTTTTGACAACTGATCGTGAATAGTTAGTTTTATTATTGAGCGATGTACTGGGGTAAATTCTCAAGTAATCCTGGAGTAGCATCTATTGTTAGAATCCGGAATTCGGGATAGCAACTACATTAAAGCGGACCGTACTGGCATTTCAGCTTCGCGGGAGATTAATGATCAGGTCATACGCGGGGAAATATATGAGGAGGGAATGCGGGATGTTTGATTGGGATCGAAGTTTTCAATTCGTTTTAGACCAAGAGTCCAAACTATGATATTTCGCAACTGTTTTGTTATTGGTTGCGGATGGTTTTGTTGTCCACAGCGCTTATATGGTTTAATTAGGGGCATTGTCCTCAAATTAATTGGCCGAAATTTCAATTCGAATTTTTGTCTTTTGAATATTGCGCAATATTTAGTTCAAATACTACATACTATCTAAGGACAAGAATTGGATAAAAAGTCATATTCCCAAACAAAATCACAGAAGTTACTCTCATTTTCAATTTCGCACTATCAAATAAGGTGAAATTTATGTACGTTAGTAGAATTAAAATCGATGATATATGCATATTAGATGGAAATAAAATCAAAAAAGTAAATACATCCACCAGTTGAAATAAAACTGCGCATGCAATGCTAGCATGAGTTAAAGTTACACTACAAATATCTATATCATCATACATAAAAGGTTATTAGAATCAAAATTTTGTTCTCTCCAGGTTTTAATGGTAGAATCGGAGAACAGTACTAATGGATCTGCAAAATTTGAGGTCATCGAGCACCGGTTCAATAAGTATTGGCAGAATAATGGTGGTCCTTCCAGAGAAGCATGTACGTATTGATATTATGTACTAATATTCGTAAACATTTATATTGCTTTTTTAAAAATTATGTTATGGGAATGTATGAGCTCTTTTTATTTTAGTACGGACTTTTCAGTGTTGGAACTTTCTCCGTTGACCTTATCTGACCAACTAAGAGACATCGCCATTTCAATTTGTTTAAAGTATCGGGACGAATTTCGACCGTTTTCAATCGTTACTACTCCCATTCAATTATGATTTAGCCCAGTGGGGTTTGTTAAATTCTTCTCGGGTTCCGAATTTTATAATAACTTTTTGCTTGTGTTATAGTTTCTCTCCAATTTGATTATAGCTCCTGTCTTTTTTTTTTAGTGTTAACAGAACGAAGTGGAATGCGCATGGCTTGTGACCGAAGTTACATCTATGTGCTCGGTGGTTTCTCACCTTTGCTAGAGACACTGCTTGCACAGGTTTGTTGCGTATAAAACCATAAACTTAGAAGAGGAGCTAGAGGTAGAGATGCTAAAAGTGAAAGTCGAGGAGCTAGAGGTGAAAGTTATTTAGAAATATAAAGTCCTTTTGATAATGACGAGCATACGTTGAATCCATTATGTGAGAGTTTATATCTTTGCTAACAATGGGCAGTTATCAATTCGTATCTGTTAAAAAGACAGTGACCACTTAACTAATCTCTAGAAAGACAGTGCATTTAAACTATATTAGTTGCTGGTCAGAATGGAAGCATGATTAATCCGAATGGATCCTATCCATTTGTTTTAAATAACAGTTTAAATATGGCTTAAAGGTATCGACTGATATCGGTTATCGTGATGCATAAAATGGGTGTATTTATAAATTAAGATATTTCGCAACCAGTAAAGGAATAAATTAAAACGAATGCATTAATGTAGCAGTTTAAACATTACCGTATTTTGCCAATCATATCTTCATCATTTTGTTGTGATGATTCCCTTAGTTTTCTATATTTTCCGTGGATTTTCTGGATACAGTTTAGGAACTTTGGCGTTTCAATATTTTAACAGATACCTGGGAACTAATGTCTATACCGGAAAAGGGTTTTCCCGAAGAATTGGCGTCGTTTGCTAGTAAGTTTGTTGGATTTTCTTTTTTGTCATCGTGTTTAGTTTGTATTTTTTGTCATTTTTCTTTGGAATCAGATCATGGCAGTGTTGGGATTATTAAATTTTGCTTATTCAGCGGCATTTTCTGTATTTTCTAGGTTGCTTTTTCGGTGAACCCATTCTATCCGAATTTTATATATTTGGTGGAACCGCAGTTCCGTTCGGTACAAGAGCTTCTAATTCAGTCAGCTTACTCAAGCGTGTACGGAATGGAAATTTTATTTGGAAACGGCTGAAAACCATTGGTGATATTCCCGTCAAGCAGTATGGTTCAGTAAGTGTCAGTTATCGGTTGCAGAAGTTAACCAGTTTGGTTTTTAGTAACGAAAAATGGTGATTTAAAATATGTGGAAAAAGAAAAAAAATAAAAATTTGTTAATCAGTTATTGTTTGGATGAGAAACTTGAAGTAATCCTGAGCATGTCAACAGTTTTCAGGTTTTTGAAAATTTAATTGAAAAACATGACAGTTCCCTGGTTTTTGAAAATCCGCTGGTAGTCTTTATTTCTTCCTAAAGTCTTTATTTCTTCCTTTATTTCTCTTTCTTCATTTCTTCCTAAAGGTGCTTCCTTCCATAGACACTCTTATTCCTCAAATTTTCTTCCTTTGTGTCATTTCCAGCTACTGCTGAAAAATTATTACCGTTGTAGTTGGAATTATCCCTTTTCAGTGTCTTGTGCATAATAATGGGAAATTCTATGCGTTTGGTGGAATTGTAGTTGGAATTATCCCTTTTCAGTGTCTTGTGCATAATAATGGGAAATTCTATGCGTTTGGTGGAACAACTGGATGGGAATATAATTTACAAGTTCGTAGCTTAGAACCTGAATTCAATGGCAAGAAGATGAGAGAGACGAACTAGAACCAGTTCACTGGCGATGGACGCTTCTTCATGTAATT